TGGGTGGAAACTTCTTTGGGGTCTAATCTTAAGTTATTTTATTTTAGAAGTGAGAGGGAGCAACGAGAAGCAAACAACCAAAAGAACAAGCCCAAAAGGGCACTAACTAGTTGCCTTCCAGCTGTTCTGACTGGAAATCGAGCCTCGCTGTGTCAGAGTAGAACGGTGCCACAGAGGGCTTTCATGGACTGTTTTTTTGGGAATAGATAAACAGGCCTTTCAGCCACAGTGCCTCTGGTGGACTCAATCCACCAGCCTTTCAGTTAGCCACTGAGCACCTTTACCATTTGTGCTACCAAGGGACGCCATGATCGAAGATGAGAACAAACAGGGTGATCTGCTGAGATCAGCCAGCCTGCTAAATGGAAAGGCCAGGAACTGTCCATGAAAAGCTGCTGGAATGAACTTCACCTCTACATCCATTAGCCCTGGTTTGCTGTTCCATAGGAAGCTTCCAGCGTCCTCTGACTTCTTGCTCAGCAGGAGCAGCGCCTACCTATGGTGGCCCTGGCATCCTTCCAATCTTGTAAGTGAAGCTCCCAAAATTCAAACCAAACTCACTGCTATTGAGTCAATCCTGACTCACAGGGGCCCCTGGGGGCAGGGTAGACTGGCCCCTGTGAGTTTCTGAGACTGTAACTCTGTACAGGGGTAGAAAGTCCTGTCTTTCTCCATCGGAGCGGCTGAGGGTTTCAAACTGCTGACCTTGCAGTTGGCAGCTCCACTCATAACCACTCCGCCACCAGGGCTCCGGGAAGGGAAGATGCTCTGCTCCTCTTTAACTTTACTTCTTTCCCTTCTTGGTCACCTCCCCATTCCTACCCTTAGGAAGTGGTACCCTTGTATCCTCTGGCTCCTCTGTCTTTTACAGTATTCAGGGTAGGGGGCAATGGCACAAATGATGAACACTCATTAACATTCAAGTGCAAATAATGGAGCGTGCCATGCCTTCAGAAAGATTTGCTTTTGGTGGCACTTTGGGCATCTTGCCCTGCAGTAGTACATTTTGGTGAGCCATCCCTGCATGGGGGCTTGAGAATCCTCTCCTCCTGGGGCTTTGGTTCACCAAAGACCCCTCCCCACCGTGAATGCTCTGCAGCAGCAGGGATTTCACTGCTTGATCCAGTCGACATTACTCCTATCCTTAAGTTTTCCATTCTGCAACACGAGTGCCCCCCACCCCCAACCCCACCCCATGGGTTCTGATGCATGGTCAAGACTAAGTCAGCAGGGTGTGATGTGTATCAGGGCAGCGACTTAAATCTGAATGCGAACTTTCCATCCAAACCAAACTTCCAAACACGGGCCCACGTTTTCCCTGTACGGGAGGCGAGCCCTGCTATGGTGCTGCACAGCCCCTGGGGAGCAGTTGGGTCAGGAACTGCGCAGATTGCACGTGCAGGTGGGCCCTGGCCTTTTCTCCTCTCTAAGTTGGCAGTGGTCAGTTCCCCGGGAGCCCAGTGTCAATTGGAGTCTCCTCAGAAGACACTCCAAAGTCTCCTGCATTGGTCACCAAACAAAGACAGGGACTCAAGGCCCCCTCGCCACATTTCCACATGACCATGGACCCTCTGAGTAGCTGATCCTGCCAAGCCCCCAGGCCAATTCCAGATCTGAAATCCAAACTCCCGTATAGTCTTTGGACAGCTCTCAGTGAGAGCAGGGGTGTGCACAGAGGCTGGTCTGCCATCCAGCCCGCTTAGGACAGACACCACAAAGACTTCAGGAATAGTGTTGCATGCTCCTAACAGCTGTAGCCCTACCAGGATGAGAACCAGGCTCTCTGAGGAAGTGTGGAAACCCAGGCAGTTTGGGGATGGACAGATTCATTCAGGCCTAGTGAGTATGGAGATTGGGAGCTTTGTCAAGTGGCTTTTGTCTGTGTCCTTTTTAGGGGAAAGAAATTCTTGATGCCGTGACAAGTTCTAATCCAAGAGTCTTTGGCTGGTAGCTTGGAAAAGAGGACCATGTGGAGTGGTGAGTGAGCGAGGAAGGGCTTCCACAGACGAGAACACCACCTCCCATCATAGAAACTCATGGAGAAGGCCTGGAGGGTGAGTATAGTGACCTCAGCCCCACAATAGACACCGGCTGTCCTGCAAGTTCCAGTGGCCGAGGAGGACACATCTCAGGGCTCGTGCCCTGGCTATATGGCCAAGATTTGTTTTTGCATTAAAAAGATTTGTATGGACAATGTGCTCAGAGTAGGGATTTCATGGGGGTATTTAAAAAGAAGAGGAAAATAATACTCATTTGCAAACTTACTAATGCTCTATGCTAAAGAATTATTGGTGGCATATTGGTGGGTTTGGGCTAGTGCCCTTTGTCATTTAGAACCAGTCCAGAGGGGGAGGCCGCTCTGTGGGGGTGGTGAGCTGGAGGACCGTCGGGCATCTCTATGGGTCAGAGGGAACTATCTCTGGAGCCCGGGCAGGAACACCATGGGCTGCTCTGTGACAGTAGATCATACTAGCCAGGGGCTGCTCTGTGATGGTAGATCATACTAGCCATGGGCTGCTCTGTGATGGTAGATCATACTAGCCATGGGCTGCTCTGTCACGGTAGATCATACTAGCCAGGGGCTGCTCTATCATGGTAGATCATACTAGCCAGGGGCTGCTCTATCATGGTAGATCATACTAGGCAGGGGCTGCTCTGTGATTGCAGATCATACTAGTCATGGGCTGCTCTGTGACAGTAGATCATACTAGCCATGGCTGCTCTGTGATGGCAGATCATACTAGTCATGGGCTGTTCGGTGACGGTAGATCATACTAGCCATGGGCTGCTCTGTGACAGTAGATCACACTAGCCATGGGCTGCTCTGTGATGATAGATCATACTAGCCATGGGCTGCTCTGTCACGGTAGATCATACTAGCCAGGGGCTGCTCTGTGACGGTAGATCATACTAGCCACGGGGTGCTCTGTGATGGTAGACCATACTAGCCATGAACTGCTCTAGGACAGTAGATCATACTAGTGGTGAGGCTGGACCCAGCAACATGCTCAGGCTTGCCTCACACATGCGCAATCCATGCGGCAGAGGAGACTTTTGCGAATGGGTTGAGCAGTCCCACACCAAAGAGCGCATGGAGAGTCCATGGGAAGTAGTAACAGTGTGAGCCACAGAGTTGGAACATATAGGTCCAAATGACATCCTCTTTCTTATGAGCTACGGACTCTTGGGCGAGTACTGTATTGTGACGCATGCCACCCATCTATGAGTAGGGGTGATTGTCCATAGCAAATAGCACGCCCAGGGGCACAGTGCAAATGGATTGCCACCGGGTTGATGCTGACTCCTAGCAGGACAGAACAGAGCTGCCCTTTGGGTTTATGAGACTTTAAATCTTTACAGGAGTAGACAGTCTCATCTTTCTCCCACAAAGCAGGTGGTGAGTTTGAACCATGGACCTTGGGGTTATCAGCTCAATGAGTAACCTACTATGCCACCAGAACTCCTTATTCAAAGGCTGACTAAGAAAACCAAAACCCAAACCAAACTCATTGCCATTGAATGGATGCCAACGCATCGTAACCCTAAGAGTCGGGGCAGAACTACTGTGCGTTTCTGAGACTGTAACTCTTTTGGGAGTAGAAAACCCCATCATTCTCCCATGGAGCTGCTGGTGGTTTTGAACTGCTAAACTTGTGGTCAGTCACCACTACACCCCCAAAGTTCCTTGCTGAAAGGTAAGAGATAGGTTTATTTGCTGTTAGGGTATTAAACCAATTGCCATTAAGTCCACTCTGACTCATGGTGCTCCCACATGCACTGCAGTAGAACTAGACTTCATAGTGGTTTCAGTGGGTGATTTTTCAGCAGTAGATCAACAAGTCTTCCTTCTGAGTCCCCTCTGGGTAGATTGGAACCTCCAGCTGTTTGATAATAAGTCGAGTGTGTTGATGATTTGTCCCACCCCGAGACTCTATTATAGACATTAGCCTACTCTCAGCTCTTAACTGAATTGTTCAGGTCTTCTGAGGGCTTCAATGAAGAGAGACAAGAGGAAGGTCTGGGTTAAAGGTAGTCGACCTCACACTCAGACCCACCACTTACTAGCCGCTTGATTTCTATATACCTTGGTTTCATCAGCTGTGAGCGGGAACAATGAGATCTTCATCATCAACTGTTCAAAGGAATGAGCTGATAACACTCACTCAAAACTTCACTGCCCTAGAATTGATTCTGCCTCATAGGGACCCTGTAGGACAGAGTAGAATGGCTATGTTGGGCTTCTGAGACTGTAACAGGAATAAAAAGTCAAGTCTTCCTCCCTCAGGGCAGCTGGTGGGTTTGAACTGCTGACCTGGTGGCTTGCAGTCCATGGTGTAACCACGATGTTGCCAGAGCTCCTAGCTGAGACCAGTGGGACATGCAAGTATCCTCTGTGTGGGGAAGAGCTGCAGATTTGAATGTCAGGGATTGCTTTTGCTACTCTGAAGGAGCCCTAGTGGCACTGTTGGGTAAGCATTGGACCAACAACCACAAGGCTGGCAGTGCAAACCCACCCGCAGCTCTGCTGGAGAAGAGCAGGCTCTCTGCGCCTGTAAAGATGTGCACCCTCACAAACCCTACAGAGGGTCGCTGTAAGTCGGAATCGACTGGATGGCAGAGGACGTGGGGTTGGACGCTCCTTTTACCAGGCAAGTGTCGGGTTCTAGGTGGCAGAGTGGGGAGGAGAGGGGAAACACTTAGAGAAAACCTGAGCAGGAACCTGATGTCTTTGCTCAGTGCATTTGGTTGGCTCAGATGGACCAGAGAAGTGCACAGCTGGTTTGTCTGGTTGCCTTGGTGGTGAGAAGTTTCTTGCAGTGCTGGGGGGTGGGGTGGGGGTGGGAAGAAGGAGTAGAAGGAATAATTCCTTTCCTTGGCAGGAAGGTAATCGAGTTTCACTGATAGGCTCTTCCCAGGACAAGCCCCAGCAAGGCTGCTGAAGGGCGAGCCACACATCATGCAGGGAGAAGAAGGCATCAAAGTGGCTGCCGCTCTCTCACCTGTGGTGAAGGTGGTGGAGGTGATGCTGCTCCGCACGGCATCCTGGGCCGCCTGCAGGAGCACCGTGTAGTCTGTGTTCTCCGACAGGCCCTCCAATCGGATCCACGTGTCCTCTGCGTCCACGATCAGCTCCTGCAGGATGGAGCAGAGGAGGGGAGGTGGCAGGGAGAGACCAGCCCGCCAGATGGGAAGAGGGGAGAGGAAATCCAAATCCCCAAACCCAGCCAGGACGTTAGAGAGTGTGGTAGTCACCTAATCTGGTGTCAATTTAAGGATTGAGAGTGTAGGGGTGGAGTCTGGGCTATCAACTTGGAGATAGCCAATGGGACTCCTGTGTGGGCATGGCCTCTCCTGAGAATTCTGGGAAATCTGGTAATTCCTTCTTGGAGGCAGGAGACACACTCTCGCTGCTACTCCCTGGTAGACATTGCAGAAGACAAGCCACATGGATGTAACCAGACCTCTGAAGCCGGAGAAGCCACAGAGAGGCCCCTGCCAGCACTGAGATGCTTACTATGCCACTGGACCCAAAGACTTTCTACCCACTGGCCTGTGATCATCCTGTATTTGGCTTCATTGCATGTGTTTTGTGGGTCTGAAGAGGACTTTATAGATTGGTATCTGACATATGGGCTAATATTGGACCTATAGACTTGGACTGGGCGGGGTTGGGATGCTTTCTTAATGTACAATTGTTCTTGTATATAAACCTCTTCCGTATACACATATGTGTGTCCGTGGATTTGTTTCTCTAGTCTACCCGGACTGACACACAGAGAAAGAACTGGATGCTTGTCTTCCCCATCACCCTACAAGCAGGAGACCAGTCAGCAGAGAGGATAGCTTCTGTGTGAGACACCAGCCACTGGCAGTCTCAAAAGGGCACTTTGGGATAAGTGCACTGGGACTATTATTATTACATCCACTGGTTTTCAGAGGGAGCACGCAGGGGTCTAGGTCTCCCTCACTCCCTATCTAATGGACAGCCTCTGCTTCAATCTATTGTGTATATTTGGCTTCTGCATACAATTAAACTTAAAGAAGGATTCCACTACTCAGTAAAGTTTCTGAAGCAGGGCTCTAGCCGGACTATTTTGACTGATGACATAAAACAATACCTGTCATCTCTTTACTGTGAGTCAGGTGAATGTCGCCTTTGAAATGCTTATACGGAGCCACTAAAAGCTGTTGAGTTTGTGACCCAGCTCAGGTGTGCTTGGCCGAAAATAGTCCCACTTCCAGGTACTTATATCGGCTTTGAAGCTTTGCATCGTTATCTTGGAAGCATCACCCAAATGTAGGGAGGCTGTAGGGGTGGATGCCCTGCTACCCAGGGGGAGAAATGGAGGATTGGAGCCGTTGACTGCTTTACGTTGACTTGTGTAGAGAGCGGTCATGGAGTCAGGCTCGCTATTCCACCACACGTTGTGCGCCCTGGATGGGGAGCCTAATTCTTTCCCTGTGGATTGCTTCCTTCCCTCCTCTCCCATTTCCACGGGCTATTCGAATGGGCTTGCTTGATAGACATGGTCTTCCCCTTCTTTCAACAAGATCTCACCTTGCGACTCCCGTCAGTGGACTTGTAGGTCAAGACGTAGTTCTCCATCTCGGCCCGGGGAGGCTGCCAGGAGATGAGGGCACTCTGTCTGGTGACTTGACTGGCCGTCAGGTTTACAGGAGGGTCCATGACTGCAAAGAGGAGAGTGTGCCTGGATGTGCCTGCCCCTCCACTCCTGGCTGCTTGATTCCAGGTACGGGGACCTATGTGCTAAAAATGTGTCTAAGAGCTGCTCAGAGGTCAACCCTAGTGGTAGCCGGGACAGAAGCATCAAGAGCACTCCTGGGTCAGAAGATTATTGCTTAGTGTCATGACCCTGCTTGCAGTCAGTCATTCCTTCCCCTTCCCCGGGCTTCTGAGCATGGCTTGTGACATCTTGTTAAACTTACGTGTCTTTGAGTCTACTCTTGAAGTTACAATACTCATAAGTTTGTCTAATGGTCTCATGGTCATGACTCCTCCCAGCATCTCATGCCCTTATTTCTAGATACTTTAATCTCTGTTATGGATTAAAATGTGTCTCCCCCAAATCTGTGCCGGAATCCTAATCCTTACACCTATGGATACAGTTCCATTTGAGAATAGGACTTTCTTTGTTACGTGAAAGAGTGCAAAGTATATGCTCAACCTAATAACTTCTGATTCATAATGAGGGCAAACTAGACACAGGAACACGTACAAACACGAAGATCGCCAAGGAGCCGAGGAGTGCCAGGGCTCGGATGTCGCACCAGACAAAGACCTGTCCCCGACTCAACGAACAGAGAACCCCCCGCCCTAGAGCCGGTGCCCTGAATTCATACTCCTCGCCTCCTAAAGTGAATGTCTGCTCTTTGAAGCCACTCATTGGTGGTAATTCTGTGACAGCCACTGCAGGAAGCTAAAACAATAGTCAACAGATTTTTCTGGCGAAGTGCATACCCAGCCTGGGTCTCTCTTGGCCCGCGTCTGCGGCACTCACCCAGAGGCTGGGTGGGAGCAGAGGAGAGATGCAAATATGTAGGTGACTTAGAGTAGCTGCCTCTCACTTTCACTGGCAGTTGGCCTGGAGTTCACTACAATCGTCATAGCTCCTCATGTCACAGTGTAAAAGCCTATGGACTATAATCTAGTCCACCATGAGGGAGCCAGTCATCTCATCCACAAACGCCTTCAGAGATACCATATATGCAGTTGACCATGTACTCACAGGTAGAGAAATTGGTGCTGATGGTGCCACTGGTGAGTGGCCCACTGGTGGCATACATGGTGACAGTATAGTGGGTACTGGGGAATAGGTCAACAAGCTGGAATTCCTCACTGACGCCGTCAACCAGGATGGTCTCTCCAGCAACTGAAATCATATGAATAAGGATCAGAAAGGACTATTCAATGTAAGAAAGACAAAATCCAAAGGCATTTTGCAAATCTCTAATGGCAAAAATCTGTTAGAGGTTATATAGTTTAACATCTTATTCTATGCAAGTATCCTCCACTCATTCCTTTTTACATTTTTATTGAGAAAATGTTCCCTATATTGTATTTGAGCTTAAATTCTGAGTATCCTGTTTGCAAAAGGCTATGGATGGTGGTGACAGCCCCCAATCCATTTGCAGGGTCTCCACATAGATTAAGCCTCTGTTGAATGGTTTCTGGTCATGAACCAAGGGTGTAGATAATCTTGCCCTCAGGCAGCGTGCCTTGGAAAGTAGATTACGCCACCTCTTTCTAGCCAGCCCAGGGAGGGGTAGTCTCTTTTAGGGGCTTGCTTGGGTGTGTCCTTACTCTGGAGAGTAGTGTGTGTGTGTGTGTGTTGCCACACAGTCATGAGTCATGCCCTACTAATCTCACCCTAGCATCCCTTGGTCAGAAGGCCCTGGACCAGTCTTGTAAGCCCTTCTATCTATCATCATGTACACGTCCCCATCATGGTCCTCTTCCTGCTTCTGTACTCCCACCTGGAAACCAGAGAAACCAAACTCACTGCCACCAAGTGGATGCCAACTCATAGCATCCTTCTAGGACAGGGTAGAATTGTCCCTGTGGGGTTCTGAGACGTAACTCTTGATGGGAGTAGAAAGCCCGGCCTTTCTTCTGCAGAGCAGTTCATGGTTTTAAACTGCTGTCCATGCAGATAGCAGCCCAATGTGTAACCACTGCACCACCATCACCTGTAACTGTGATGCATCGATCTGCCACCCATCATGAATTTGTGACAGTTCCCTTTTCCCATTCCATATTTATCTATAGCTTCCTGGTCGTGACTCCGTAGACGCTAAAGGCCTCTCTCATCTGGATAATGTGTCTGTGTTTTTGTCTTATCTTTCTCTCTTTTAAGACTTAATAAATGTCCTCCTTAAATTATATTTGAGATCGCGGTCTCTTTTGTATCCTAACACAAGATGAAGACCAAATTTTGTTCTCTAGAACGTCTTCTGTTCAGGCCTCAGGAGTTACAAAGAAAAAATTTAATTCTTTGTCTACATTAACCCTTGATTCCCACCACTCCTGCTAACCAACACATCTCTTCTTTAGATGAGCCATTTGATCTGCAGTGGGATGGCTTGTCATAGGGCTACAACAACGAATTCAAGCATGGGAAGACGTGTGAGGATGGTGCAGGACTGGGAGGTGTTTTGTTCTCTTATACATCGGGGCCACTATGAGTTGCAAATGACCAACAGCACCTAAAGCCCCAAACCCCATTTTAAGTGGGCACAATGCCTTCCCCCATAAAATCCTGGTTGCTTTTCTCTACACAAGAACCGGTGGATCTGTGTCCCTTCTGACATGCAAAACCCAGATAAGAACATAGGACAACTGATAGGTAACTGGCCCACGCAGCAAACAGGATCTGCCTGTGCTTCCATCGGTGCCATCGGCATGCTGTCACTGTGCTCTGTAACAGCTGTGAGATGCTGTGCTGAGAGGCTGAGATTATTGCCAACCAGGGCGCTTGTTCACAACCCCCTCCTCGACTTCATGGAGCAGATGCTTTCAAACCACTGGGCAGAACTTTCTAACAACCGTACTTTGCCTTGTTGGCTGCATTTGGGACTACTCTTTCTACTGATTCAAATGTTTTTGAAGTTTGGATCCTATCTCTCACAGTTTTGTTTCATACACAAATTCAGTAAGCATGTATTTCTTATTTATTCAAGCTATTGCTAAAACTGTCTCTTAGATTCGGGCCAATCCTATCATGGCAGGAGACTACTGAGTCACACAGCATTTGACAAATGTTGCCAGGTACATTTCCAAACCAGGTAAGGCCTGGAGTTTTCAGTTGCTTATTGTCTAAAGGCAAAGAAAGGCATATAAAAAAAGTTAAAATTCCAACTAACTCTTTGGCAGAGATCAAATCTTTTCAGTCTCCTCGTTTGCTCCGTCCCACCCTCTCTCATTCAGTGCTTCAGCCACATGCCCTCTTACACCTCTACCAAGGTACCCAGGATGCTCTTTTTCCTGGATTTCCCACTTTTCTTCTTTTCTCTAGTTTAAAATTTAGCCAAGACCTGCCTCCTTGCTTCCCTGGAGCCCCCTCACCCTAAAGCCACAGCCGTGTTCTGTTGTCCTCTATAATGATGCCCCACACATTGACCTGTAAATGTTCATTTCTCTGAGTTGTCTCGAGACAGTAGGTTCGTGTTTTGTCTCAGAATCCCTGTTTCCCTGTGGAGTATCTGGCGTATGGGAGGTCATCAAAAGTATTTGTTGAAGAAGAGAAGCTAAGTGCTATCCTGAGACTGTGCACTTTGCACCTGACTGCCTTGGCAGAAGAGGAGGCGCTGTAACAGAAGAGATAGTGCTGGAAGGTGAACATGTGAAGGACACGTTTTCTAGGCGGACAAGTGGGGAGAGAGTTTTCTGGAGGAGGAAACAGCCTGTGAAAATGCATCAAAGCTGGTGAAGGCCTGGCCCTGCGAAGACTTGAAGGGTCACAATAAGCAAGAGGAGATGCAACGTGCTCACACAGTAGGGGTCAGATGTAGCCATGACAATGACCTTTCACTCTTGGAGCAGGCTCATTCAGTCAGCTATCGTCCCAGCTAAGATCAAATACAGACCATAATGTAATTTTCCATCTTAAGAGATTAAGTAATAAGGTTTTCATTAATGCCTACCTAATTTACCAATACACACCCCCCTCCAACCTAAAGTGTTTTTTTGTTTTGGTAAAATTATTTTTAGTGAATCTGTGACGGCCTGTAGTAAGCACTGATTCCTTTTCTAATTTGCTTAATATTCTATTTTAGCACTTACCCTTCCAAGCTTGGACAATGAGTTTACTTCTTGGTTGCATATAGAATTGGCTTTCTCTGCCCTTTGTGAAAATCAAGACACCTGTACACCGTCTATCTTGGGGCACTCCTGTTCTCGGAATTGCTGAACATAGCCTGCAGCCTTCTGTGCTTACCTGTATCACTGAAGCAGGGGGTCATTTTTCACTAATTCTTATGTTCTTCTGTCAGAAAGATTAATAGACTTGGACTACCCAACAGTATTTTGCGTTGGTCTTCCAATGGGGTCAGGTGAACAAATGAGGTGAAGAAGGGATTGAAAATCAAGATTGTATGTTGGTTCGACTATTGGAGCTGGGTTTGGACGCAGACACTAGAATAGGAGAAGAGCTTACTAGTTCTGGATTCCCTGTTACTTGTTGTGATGCATTTCTGGCTCCAAGCAGGGTCCTCTAACTTCAGTGATTTTCTTACTCTACAAATATCTAGACGTCTGCTTTCTTATCCTTGACATTTGAGGCAAGTCTTACCTTGTTTTGAGTTATTCTTCCTTATTTTTTGTTTGTTTCTATCCCTCCTTGCACCTTTCAGACTCACCTTTCTCCATTCTTATAGCTTACACAGGGTTTGAGGCCATCTTGAGGAATTCTATGCATACACAAAGTGGGGAAATTTCTCATGTACCCCTTAGATTGACATAAAGTCTTTGCACTGATCTGTCGGTTCCACCACCACCATGCTCACCTTCCTGGTCTATGCCATCCATGCCTACCTGAAAAGTGTGTGAGAACAATGACATAGTTCTCCACGTCACCCACAGGAGCTTTCCACTGCAGCAGGGCTTCCGTGGGAGTGATGTTCGTAGCAATCAGACCCACAGGGTTGTCCATGGCTGAAACGGAACAGGAGCACATGAGTTCAAGCTAAGAGGAGGAGAGCTGCAGGATATAAGGGCGCCAAATTCTTTAAAAATTTTATTTATTTCTTTTCTTTTCTTTTTTATTCACTTTTAAAAATCATTTTTGGTGGGGGAGGGCTCATACAACTCTTATCCATCCATTCATCCATTGTTTCAAGCACATTTGTACATTCTTTGCCATCATCATTCTCAACACATTTGATTTCTACTTGAGCCCTAGGTATCAGTTCCTCATTTTCCCCCTCCTTCCCTGCCCACCCCCTTACAAACCCTTGATAATTCATAAATTATTATTGTTTTTTCATGTCTTACACTGTCCAACACCTCCCTTCACCCACATTTCTGTTGTCCATCCTTCAGGGAGGGGGGTTATATGTAGATCCTTGTGATCGGTTCCCCCTTTATACTCCGCCTTCACCTTCCCCTCCTGGTATTGCTACTCTCATTATTGGTCCTGATGGGTTTATCAGTCCTGGATTCCCTGTGTTTCCAGTTCTAACCTGTACCAGTGTACATCCTCTGGTCTAGCCAGATTTGTAAGGTGGAATTGGGATCATGATAGTGAGGGGGTGGGATGAGGAGGGAAGCATTAAAGAACTAGAGGAAAGTTGTATGTTTCATCCTTGCTACAATGCACCTTGACTGGCTCATCTCCTCCCCGAGAACCTTCTGTAAAGGGACGTCCAGTTGCCTGAAGATGGGCTTTGGGGCTCCACTCCGCACTCCCCCCTCATTCACAATGATATGATATTTTTGTTCTTTGATGCCTGGTATCTGATCCCATCGACACAGGCTGGTGTGCTTCTTCCATGTGGGTTTTGTTGCTTTTCAGCTAGATGGCTGCTTGTTTATCTTCAAGCCTTTAAGACCCCAGATGCTATATCTTTTGATAGCCGGGCACCATCAGTTTTTTCGCCACATTTGCTTATGCACCCTTTGTCTTCTGCGATTGTGCCGGGAAGGTGAGCATCATGGAATTCCAGTTTAATAGAATAAAGTGTTCTTGCATTGAGGGAGTACTTGAGTGCAGGCCCAATGCCCATATGCTACCTTAATACTAAACCTATGAATATATGCACAGAGATCTATTTCTCCATCATCATATATTTACATATGAAGTATGGCACATTCTTATCTCAGGAAGTTTCCCGTATTATGCACTCTGCTTTGGGCCTGCACAAAGTTTTGGAGTGACCTCTTTCCTGTCTCACCTTCAATTCTTTCCTCCTTGCACATCCTCCTTCCTTCCTCCCAAGTACCCAGTCCCCACCCCCCCATGGCTGTAGCTCTTCTGTTCCATGTATTCATGAACATCTATGTACCCAGCACTATACCAGGTGCTGTGGAAGATTCCAAAGCAGTATGATTCCTCTTTGTTTGACATTTAAAGACAGATGGAGTAATTAGAACACACAGTAGTGTTTCTAGTTTACGATTTTCTAAATGTTGGGGGTGTGCCTTGGGAAAAGCTTTCCATTGATGAACTTCAGGAAGTATAGTGGGCACTCCATAAGTGCAGGGGCGTCCCTGGCACCCAGAACTTAGAAGGTACTAGATAAATGTTGTTAGTATGAATGAATAAGACTCAAGTGGTCCCTTAATCTCATAAGTGATTATTGCCTTCTCCCTTGCTTCACTCAGTCCCGAGTCCTGAGTATGTTTGTGCATGTGCATGTTCATGTGTGCTCGCACATGTGTGTGTGTGTCATAGAGTGTCAGAGTGGGGGTTCTTCCACATTTAGGGAGGTCAAAGTACAGATGCCAAGTTTGCTCATCCTGGGACCATCTTCTT